TTCGCCGGCTGGGCTCGGGGAGGCGGGCGGAGGCGGGCTCGCGGTAGCTTTTCCGGCGGCAAAGCTAGTTCTAGAAAACGTAGGTTCAGAATGAAAACACAGAGACTGCGCCTTTGTCGCAAGTCTTCATCTCAAAGCTGTATTCACTGTAGAAGTTAACGATTCTGTGCAAAGGCAGCCATAAGTCGGCAGGACACCTTAAATGTTGTGATTTGGGCTTTTCTACAGCGTACTTCAAGCGTGTTATTTATCTTCCAAAAAAAAAAAAAAAAAGGAGGGGGGAAGTCCAGTAAAGCTGGATTCAATAAGGCTTGTCAAGTATTTGAGATCCTTGGCTAGTCAGACGATTAACACTTCCTCTTGACAAAAGTGTCTTAGAAGTGGAACGGCGGGGCAGAGTAGATTTTGGGGCGGTGCGCTGGCCAGGCGCCGCTGCGGCTGCGTTTCCTCCTGGCAGGTTAGGCGTAGGTGTGGAGAGCCAGACCCAGGGAGCGGGCAGGGAAGGAGTTTCTCAGAGTGCTTGGGTGTAAGGGCTGAGTCACCTATGGCATTATTTATGTTAGAATACTTTGAGGCAAGTTACAGAGTTACTTTGAAAGAAGATGGGCTTAAGACTGAAATCTAAAGATCTGCATTCTGCACAGAACTGCAGTTCTGCTTGCAGACCGGCGCAGACCCTCCCGAAGCGGCGTTTACGCAGCTGAATCCTGACTCCAGCGCCAGATGGTTTCTGGCCACAGTCCCGCAGCAGCAGCACGCACGCCCTTGACAAGCAAAAAGTTTTACCTGGCAGGTAGCGCACATGTGGTCATGGAGAATGTACTTCCAGATGGCCATATTCAGGGTGACCACTTTTGTACAAGACAGCACTTATAAAAGCTAAAAAAAAAAAACAAACTAAACCCCACCCCATCAACACCACCGTTATATTATATACCCCTCTGCTACGTCTTCCTTCCTGAACGTCTTTCCTTCACGCACCAAGAGCTTATCCCTATCAGAATCTAAAGAATATGAGTTTCAAAGACCTTGTGAAAGCTACCCTCTGGTAATTTCCCTTTGTAGTGCTTCTTTCCAGTTTTTAGGCATACATTGTTAGGGCCTCTAGTGTTAAGAGTGTAGTTAAGGAGATTCTGATCTGTTTTACTGTTGTACTATTTAGAATTTTGTGAAACTACGAATAAGTTTCTCTGCTATCATTTGGGAAAGTTGCGAACAGTTAAAGTTCTGGCAGTATCTGGTAGAGAAAAGGTTTTTTAAAGACACTCGGCAACCACACTTCTAAAAAAGACAGAATTCTGATGAAGGTCTGGAGATCACGTTTCACTTTTTAAGAGAGTCATATTCAATCCCACTCCTTACTGAGGGCTGGGGTGGGAGCAGGAGTAGGATGTGATCTTTTCCTTTTCTGATAGGGGAATGGAGGAAGCAGTTAAAAGGAAAGCTACAGAAGTAAGAAATAAAATTCCTAAGCGGCTAGTATCATAAGGAACACCTCAAGAATGTACTCTCTACTTAAAACTAAAGTAAACTGGTTTTGTTGTCGTTATTTTTTTTAAATACTAACCTTTGCCTATTAGGTGTTATTTGTTGACCAGTAGGTATTTGATGCATGTCATTTTGTAAGGAAACAAGGTTTTTGCAATTACTCTGCTTTTTCTGGCCATAAGTCTTTTTCTAACCTCTGAAAACATTGCTGGTTTTGGTGAATTTCAAATGAGAGAAAAATTGCAAAGGCAATTAAGTTCTGTCAGTTTTTGTGGAAATCAACAGCTGGCCAGAGGAGCAAGACCTACACTGATAATTTCGTTGAAAATCAGGCAAAAGCAAAAACTGTCTTACCTAGTGGTAACACCGTAAGGAACAAAAAAGGAGCTCATGAATTACTGTTGTTGAATTATTGATAACAATCTAGTGGAGACCAAGCTTCATGAATTGTGCTGACAACAGAGTGGCTTGTTATTGTACAATTTTCCTGTCATCATGAGCATGTAGTGGCTCAGGTTCATGATGACTGCAGCGCTGTGTGGCAAGCTTGTTTTTTGTTTGAGCCTTGACACAGCTTATGTGTCAAGAAAGGCTTAACTGCAGGCAGGCACTGTATTTTCACAGTAATTAAGATTCCTGTCTTAAGATTACCTACTTGACATGTTTGAAAGGAATGCCAAATTATATGTTGGCAGCATATAGTTTGGCATTCCCGAAAAAGGCTTCCAAAGGTTTTTTGAAATGGAGCTTCATTCTGACAATTCTCCAAGTACTGAATACTGTTTCTCCTTCTCCCTCCTTCTTTGCTTTTTTTTTTTTTTTTGACATGTTTGATCAGAGATATGGAAGTGTGTACTGCCACCAATTTCAGGGGGAAGAATGCCTTGTGTTGTCAGATATTCCTTCCTTCCTCGACAGACACTTATTCCCTATGTACTCGGTAGGACATAAACAATTAGTCAGAGTTCCAGAAGATGCCAGATGTCCTTTAGAGCGTACAAACCTGTTTTGCAGGCTGTGTTGCACATAGGAATTGTGTAAACTCAAACACTAAATTTTTTAACAGAGCTAGTTGCTTGTTTTTACACTTAAGTGAACAGCTGGTACTCAAAACAAAACCTAAGTGGAATCGTGATAATTTTACTGGCAAAATATCTACTGGTGTGATGTTCTCTTAAGGTTTTGAAGCAGTATGAAAACTGTTTTTGTTTAAATTTCTTTGCATCCAAGTGAAGAGTCTGTGCTACCTCTTCGTTTAATAAATACTAAATAGCTTTTCTCACTGAGAATCCTCCATATGCAGCCATCTTTGCATCGTGGCTGATTTGTCGTGACTAATCAGAGCACTGCTTAGAAGAGAAGAGGCTGGACCACCTCTGGATTAACAAGTGAGGACTGGAATGCAAAGAAACTAAAGCCTAATTCCTAGAGGTTTTGGATATCTAGCTCCTATTTGAGCACCTAATTCTCCTTGATTTTGGACAGCTAGGTATCTAAATATGATAATGAGTTATCCAAAATCATAAAGAGTTCTGGTTAAGCAGAAAGTTAGGGCAAAGTTATATGAAACAGTAAGCAGATCTAACAGTGCTGTATCAAAGGGAGAGATCTTGGGAGGGAAAGGAGAAGCCTTTTCCCCCCACAGTCCCAGTTCTATCCATCCCTGCACTGCCTCCTGGCTTTTGTTAGACCCTTTGCTGAATCAGTTTATCTCATTAACTTAGCTGAAGAGCTGTCTGCTTTTTTTTTTTTCCCCCTCCTGGGTTACTGAGATGAATCAACTCTTAGAAGTGTCTGATAAATGCCAGAGCTGGTGTGAAGTAAGCATGGGGAACAGGACTTCTTTTTTAGTGATAGCAAGCCATTAATAACTTAAACCATCTCATGTAACTTCAACCCTAGTTTCCAGCCTGAGATAAATTAATCCTAAAGCAGTGAAATGGAGGTCCTGATTTATATCGTATCGGGAACAGTATTCTGTGCTCTAGTATTACCTTTTGTCCAAGGTTCTACAAGCACTTAACACCCTAGCAGGTAAACCTGTGGAATACCCATATTTCAATTATGTAAACTGAAAGGAGAAAGTGAGAATGTATTTCACCAGAAGGCTTGAAACAAGTTAACAGCTCACTGCTGTACTGGTGGTGAGCAGTAGGCTTGCTAAATTCCCCAAAGAGCAGAAATCTAACCTGGGGGGAGGGTATTGGTTTTTGGGGGCTGGGACATTAGTAAGCTGACTTAGTTTACCTTGAGATCAGATAGGTTCCTGAGCAGCTGCAAAGACAGGAAAGAAAATGTTTGGCTGGGTTTGGGAGGAGCAGGAAAGGAGTAAGACCTCCCTTTCTGGTGCAGCAGGAAGCTGAAGTTCAGCTGGTGTACTGTGAAGTCAGGCGTTGAAACTTAAAGGTATTCAAATATGTATATTAGTTACGCAGTTAAGTGAGTAGCTGGATATTTAGAATTGCTTTGAAGTCAGAATGAGCCCTTAAAAATAAAGCTAGACAAACAAGTTGTTTTCCTAGCAGGAATTAAAAACAAAGGATGTAAGGTAAGTTACTAATATTAAAAGAAAAAAACATAGGAAACAATACTCAGCTATAAAATTGCTATTTTAGAGGCATAGCTCTTATCTTAAGCAAATGTGAAGGAACAATCTCAAAAAGACATTCCAGAAATTAAGCTTATCATTGCTTAGAAGAAACAGGTGGGGTTAGAGGATTCCAGGAAGCTTTTTTGGTAAGGTGAGGAACAGGAATGGGCCTAAGTGATACACCTCTCTGGAAGAAAGACCATGTAAGAAATTTTTTTTTCTAAATAACTTTAAAGGTATTCTTAAGGCTTGAGATGGGACTGAAAATACTGAACTAATTTAAATTGGTTAGGTGCCTGGCAGGAGATTACATGACTTGATTATAGGACAATATAATAGGACAATACTCCTAAACTCTGGCAAATTCTATTTTCAGTAGTCTTTAGAGATATAGTAGAGGACTAGCGACAAGAACATACTGTGTTTCTATAGGTGGCTTTTTTTAAGAGGTGAGTCTATCCTCAATTTTGTTGGTGTTACTGGAAATATAAACGAATTATCAAGAGGCTCTGATATTTGCATAAGACCATGCATATTCCAAACTAAGATAACTTGACCTGGAAACATCTTTTTTTTTGCTGATTATTTGCTGTTCTAAGCTTTCCATTTAACAAGTGCTATTTCAGGCCTATTACTCTCCCTCTGCTGGGCGCTCACGTGATTGCAGCATTGTATCATGTTATATTAAGCCTGTATTTTAAGCACTGCGGTTAGAAGTGATTCAAATGTTCTTCTTTGGCTTTCTGGACATAGTGCCGTAGTATAAGCTCTCTCCTACTTTCCAGTTGTAGAGTTGCTGCAAGCTCTCAAGCAGGCATCCTCAAAGGAGCTTATCTACTTAACTCTTACACGTTTCTTTGTGGGTTGAGTGATGAATACTTCTGGCCAGGACTGCTCTTTTCAAGCCCTCTAATCCTGAGTTAAAGCATTTCTCTTGGAACAATTAAAGCACATACTGCATAAAGGGTATGAAATTAAGTATTTTATTACTTTAGATGGCAAAAGAAATACATAGAGCTACACACCAAAATACCAATCCATATTTCTCTCTCTCCATCTCCTTACCTCTCAGACATTCCTTGTGCTCAGCTCATAATCTTCAGAGATGCCCAGGTGTATTTCATTTCTGTATTTAGACTCAGGCCTTCTTTCTCTTGGTTATACATCTCCAGAAAAAAAGACTGAAAGGTCATGTTTTTTAAAGGTACTATCCCTTTTTGTGAGGTGACTTTAGAGGCTCAGAGTTCCCAGCTGTGCGACCTATTGCTTAGTTACCCCATGATTTAGATTTGAAAAATAGCTTGGTAAGTTGGGTGCTAGCCAGTTCTTTGTTTGAGGTGCTTCACTTTGAATGCACAATCATCAAAGTCTATTCTTTAGAATTTCTTCTCTGTGGTTCTGATACCACAAGCCTCCAAACTGGTAAGTAGTAGGGGGGAGGTGGTGCAGTTGAGCAGCTTTCCTATCAAAACTCTTTGTTATGTATGGCATTTTTGCTATCAAAGCTGGGGGCTTAAGTATGCGCATGGTGAAGACTCTATACATAATTTATAAAATTTATGACAGTTGAAAATGCTGTAAATAGCAGAAGGATTACTTACTGTGGAAGGAATGTGCTGAGCAAAGAACGCACATCCAAGGAAGGGAAGAATGAGATCACTTTAACTACAGATACAGTAACTGAGTTAGGAACTGAAAAAGTTAGTGATAGGGGGAATCTGTTTTGAAGAAAGGGAGGGACTGTGTGGTCTTAGAGATCTGCAAACCAGGTATAGGATTAGTGGGAGGACGGATCGAACTCGTTAAGATCCTGAAGCAGCTGAAAATAAATCCTGCTACGTACGATCCAGACAGCATTTGACTGTTTTTATGCTTTCGTTCTGTTACTTTGTTAGTAAGATGGGGATGAGAAAATTAACCTTCTGCTCTGTTTTGTAAATTTGCTTTCATTCATAAGCTTGTTGGATGTAGAGAGTAAACGTTACAATCCTAAGATGCGTAGATTCTCTAGAAGTGACATTGAAACAGAGCATATTTTGGCTATCTGCATCCTGAATCAAGGTGAAGAGTCTGAGGGGCTGGAATGCTGAGCTGACTGAACAACAATGATAACTTCTAAGTGCCAGATCCTCAGCAGAATTTCTTCCGCTGACTGTAAGCTAGTGTTGCTCTAGCAAGAGACAAATAATGGAGACAATTGGCAATCCTGGATGCCATCAAATTGTTGGTCTTTTAGCTTGATAGAGAGGCAAAAAAATGGCAGGAAAGGTGACTAACATTTAAAGTAGCGTTTATAGTCTGATACAGAGACACAAGGCGAGTCCTTACTGTCAGTTAGAATTCTGCAGCTGTACCTGATACAGTTTTTCTAGACTGTGTAAGGAATGTTCTTGTGAGATAATGAAAACGTTGATCTTAGTGTGCGCTGAAAATACTCGTATAGGGTGTTAATGCAGGGCATGTAGCATGCTGTTAATTTGCACTGTATCTTACTGCAGGGAGCTCCTTACATGGAGAAGCTCAGAACCGCCATGTCCACTGTTAGGTTCCATAATGGTTTTAGGTTAGATCTCCTGCCTCACACATGTAGTAAGAGTTTTATTACACTTATATTTCATATGGAAAGTTTTGCATGCTGTTTGTCTGTCCCCAGAGAAATGGGAAGAGAAAACTAATTCCGTGTGGGATTTTCATGTGCTCTTTTCCATTTCCTAATTCCCCAAAATTCCAGCGGATGGAGCGTTTTGTCCATCAGAGATGTTTTATGCATTGGCCTCAGTAGTTATATAACTACGTTGGCGTATGTGGCACATCAGACAAATGAAAAGGTGGTCTTCCTTCCCTAAAGAGTTTATAGTCTATTAACAGTTGTTTTTCTGTGCTTAGTTTCTAGCTAAAATAAGCTTTAAGCATAGTAAGGAATACAAAAGTTTTCTGACATTTAGTTGACAATGTCTATACTGTTGTTATTTTAATTACTATTTTTAAGGAATGTTTCTTTCTTCAGTTGTTTTGTTCTTTAATCTTTTCTGGAAATACCAGATGTAGCAACATTGCAAAGAATAACATCACTCTTTTCAAAGCAGTGGTCTAATTAAAATGTGTTGAACCAAACAGGCAAAATGCACACTGTTCTTCATTTTGCCAAATGCCTGAATGACAATAAGCAATCTTGTGCTTAAAATGAGTATTGTTCTTTGTTGCATGTAAAAGTTAATGAATATGATGAATCTTTAATAACCTCTCCGTTTGTTTATTAACAGTGCATGCTCCATTCCTGGAACAGCTCATCTCCTCCCAGTCATAGTCACCTGAAAAAATATGAATTTCTGAAAATACATGCTTCAGGTAATTTTAAGACTTTCTAGGAGATAACTATCTGTAACACTTCTGTATCTTGTGAGACTTCTGGAAGTGTAGTAACTTTTGAGCAGAAAAATTAGTAAAGATCTTTTTTGTATGCACATTGACTTCACAAGTCCTTAGGATGGTTGTGACAAGGAGATTTAGAAAGGACTTTTTTCTTTGGATTTTTTTTCTATAAATATGTCTAGAAATTCCAGAGAAGACTCAGACGGAGCCTATACTATAAGACTTGAAATTGTAGGTGAGTTGCCTGAGTGAGTAAAACAAAAAATTACATGTGCTACCCGAAAGAGCTGTGCCAGCACAAAACCACCAATGTGGAAGCAACTATACAGCCAGAAGAATTCCTTTGTCAGCTTAGCTAATGTTGTTCACGATGGGAATGTAATAGTCCCAGCAGAAAACCCTCTTTCTCTTGATAAATGCTGGGTAATTATGCTTAGCAGAATTTCTGAAGTACAGTCAGGCAAAAAAGCCGACACAAGCATGAACAGAGAAACCCCAAAGCAGTGTCAAAACAAAGCCCTGTTGTTAAAGTTATATGTGCTAAATAGACACCTTGAACTGACGTTCTGTGAGAGATGAATTTCAAGCTTCAGATTTGATTATCGATGTAATAGTATTACTTTCTTGGGTTTTTCATTCAGTGTCTTCGTTTTATTATTTCAGTGCTGAAATTTGCAATAGCTTCTTTCCAAATTAACTAGTCAATTTTTCACCTTTGTCAGGTGACTTAATTTCTGTCACATGAATAATACCAATTTAACATGTGTAGTGAACTAAAATGGTCACTGACAAGGATTTCTGGTAGTATTAGGCTTCTCCAGATGTCAAAAGAAACCTACAATCACATTTTGGTTCATGACAGGAAATGCTCAGTGCTTGGTATGCCCATGTTCTGCCAGTGAATCCTGTTGCTCTAGGTCTTCTGCTCATATGGTAGGTTTTAAATGTAGTATGTGCATACAGTTTCAAAATACCGCCTCCTGATATGTGTTGTGCTCTTACGTACCTCTATTCCTTTTGCCTTATTGAAATATAACAATTATTTGATTTCTTGAAATAGGGTGCAGTAATTTGATATCCTAGTAGAATTTACGGAATGCTAAAATTAATATTCTGGATAATCCATAGATACTATACTGCTTCCAGATGTAGACAGGCAATTCAGAGAGTTCTCAGCTATTGATAATTATTTCACGAGGACAGAGAAACAATTTGACACTAGTTTTTATGAATCGTCACTGGGTGTCACTCTTGAGTCAGTCTGAAACACTTTAGAGGCAAATCTGAGTAACTGTTTTCTCCTTTGCTTTTTCTGTTGTTTCTGCAGTTGACACTTTTCAGCCTAATTTTATTTCATGTTCCTCTCCATAGTGTCAAATGCAACTCCGCTAGGCCAGCTTAACTTCACTGAAATATATCATTCTTAGAGGATATATTGGGAAGTCTTTGAACTTTGGTTATAATAATGTAGCTCAGAAATACCTCCTTGATAGATTTTTATGAATTTACAGGTAAATGATTGATTGTTATTTTTGACTAATCCTTTCCTTTTTTTTTTTTTTTTTTACAGCTCTATTAATATCTGTCATTGTTTGGAGCAAAGCCAAGTGACAAGAAGGAAGCGTTTATTAGTATCAACATGTAACCCTATGTAGAAGACCAATGCACTCTCTATAAATCCCAAAACTGAGACAAAAGCTGAATTGTAACTTCATTGGCAAATAAAGCATATATTTATTTTTCTCTAAAGGTAAGTTTCACTGCAGGAGAACAATTAACGTCTGATTATCTTGGACACTTTTTTTTTTTTGCAGGCAGTCCGCATATGACAAAATGTGGACTACCTCTTAATATACCTCTTAATATACCTCTTAAAGGAGTGAATGTGCATTATACAAGGCATAATAACATATAAATTGTTATATAACTACAGTTTCTAGATAGCAGTACCATTATTTTGATGTCATTTAATGGATTTATTCTTACTTTCACTGGTTGGATGCATCCAATATTCTTATAAACAGTTTCTGAAGACAAGCATTACATCTCTCTTACTAAACCCAGTTGTTACAATACACTTCTCCCAACGAAGTGCCAAAAAGGGATGAATTTTATAATGTTAACTTTCTTCTGTCAAAAGTATTAATGAAGGAAGGTGGCACAACAATCTCATTAAGGTAGCACATCATTTTTTCCAAAGGTATTTTATTGCAAACGCCATCAAACAGCTAAAAATTACCATCAAATACATTTTCTGAGTATTGCACCTAATCCTCTATTTAAAGAGTTAGCTTTCTCTGGTGCAGTTTGACGCTTGTTTTTGAGAGTGAGCAATGTAGCGTTTTGGTGGATTGAGAAACAGTTGTGTTGGATTAATTTCAGCTTGGAGAATAAATATTTGCAGTGTGCTTTTCGGAGGCATGGGCAGGTAAGAAATGGTCCCCCCAACGAGTGTATCAAAACTGCTCTACAGATGGGAAACTCCACTTTTCTTTGATATGAGTATGTTGGAGTACTCCAGGACTCTTCTTATAAACAGAATTTCTTCTTATTTATACATTCAGTGTTTAACTGTATTTTTATTTTCATAGGAGGTCATACAGTTTATACAAAATGTTGTCTTTAGAGGTTCTGGGAAAATCTCATATAGTCAGTGAGAATAGCAGGTGAACCACAGGACAAGATTTTGAAATACCGTGTTTTTAGTTTTGTATCAAGGTCTGTCACTGGGAAATATTGTTCATCAAGATCTTCTGCTTACACATATGATTTGGACTCTTGAAAAGTAGGACTTTTGAATGTTAGATTGTACAGAAAACAAAGGCAACAGGGCATGACAACTGAAATTCCTCACAGTTTTTGTGCTATATGTCACCCCTGAGTTGCTGTTACATACGTCAATAAAACTATATATAGCTAAGCAGAAAAGACTGACTTCTATGCTGGTAGTTTATATGAATGATTACCATTGCTCCCTAGTTTCTTATGTGTGATAAGGATGTTGCTTAATAATCAAGGAAATGCATTTTGGGTCACATCTATCAAAAATTTTGTTTTTGTCCAAAGGCTGTAAGATTTGGCAATGAGTAATCTAACCCTAGGAGAAAAGTTATAGCTATAAGAGACAGCAATATTCCCCAGAGCTCTAATGAAATGAGCTAGATTTAACTCATTACTGGAGGGAAGATCTTTTATGATTTGATTGAAAAGATCAGACTTTGTATTTGCTTCTCTGTCTTACGATAAATGTGTTTGAACTCTAACTAGCCACAAAGGAAAATTTTTTTCTGGACAGCTGCTTATAGAGAGTGTAAACGTATCTGACACAGTATCTAATATGCCACATATACATAAAATCTAATGATTGGACACATCCGTTTGTACTGTACTTAAATTTGACAGGACTTTTTACATGAAGACATGAGCACATTAGTTCGCCAAACCTGTGCTTCTGTGGTGGACTTAGTTTCACATCCCTACTAGGTAATCAACTGTTTATCTTTTTCTATTTTAGTTCTGACGTTTTCCCCAGGCCATAAAATGGTAGGAATTGTTTGGTGAAACATCTGTTTTGGTGTTTGGCCACAAACTTAAAATATTTCTGGTTCTTCAGAAGACAGTCAATAGACAATTGACAGTATGCATTTATGCAGGAAGTGTTTGTTGGCCCTGAAAACGGAGGGATATTCGCACTTCTCCGTCTTCCCACTGCAGGGTTTGTGCTTCCAACCTTCTGCTATCCATCGGACCATACCACAGAATCACAGAATCGTTTAGGTGGGAAGGGACCTCTGGAGATCATCTAGTCCAACCTCCCTGCTCAAGCAGGGTCACCTAGAGCATATTGCCCAGGATCACATCCAGACGGGTTTTGAATCTCTCCAGCGAAGGAGACTCCACCACCTCTCTGGGCAACCTGTTCCAATGCTCTGTCACCCTCACAGTGAAGAAGTTTTTTCTCAGGTTCAGATGGAACTTCCTGTGGTTCAGTTTCTGCCCGTTGCCTCTTGTCCTGTAGCTGGGCACCACGGAGAAGAGGCTGGCCTCATCCTCTTGACGCTCCCCCTTCAGATACTTCTACACGTTTATGAGATCGCCTCTCAGTCTTCTCTTCTCCAGGCTGAACAGGCCCAGCTCTTGCAGTCTTTCTTCCTAGGAGAGGTGCTCCAGTCCCCTCATCATCTTGGTAGCCCTCCGCTGGACTCTCTCCAGTAGTGCCAATACCACTTGTCAATCCATCAGAGAAATTATTACTTTTTTTTGACTGGGTTACATTTCTAGTGGATTAACAAATTAAAGCTGTATACTATGTGGTCAGATAAGCACCAGAGCCTTTCCTTGTACTTAGAGGATTGTGGACTGAGGAGCAGGACCATCCATTTCACTAACCCGAGATACTTGATCGGCTTTGCTGTAGCGTCTAAACTCATGTATGGTCTTACTAATTAGACGTGAATCGGCTTTGTGCCAAAATAGCCTAATTTAGAATATAGCTCATTACATTTGAACAACAAATTGTTTTGAGAATCACAGTATTAACAGTTCTGTGCATCATACAGCAGATGTATAAAGGCAGAATGACAGCATGCTGTTTTGGGGAGAGAGCTATTTTGCATATACAAGATAAACAAAAGCCATTGCCAGTAAGTAAAAACAAACCCACTTCTGGACTGAGAAAACAGAGGAAAGAATTTAATAGCAAAAAGTAAAACAGTTGACACTGATGAAATAACCAATGAGAACATATAGTAACCATTCAGCAAAATACTTTTTGTATGGAGGAGGAGACTAGAGGAGTTCTTCAAGGGTTGATGTAGGGACTAATTTAATATTTTCATTAATGAGATCAGAAGAAGTAGGAATAGGCTAGTGAAATTTATGAATTAAAAATATCATCACTAAAAGGAGAACTGCAGTATTATATAGAAATAAGTAAATCTCCTTTTTAGGATTGAACAGAAACAGGATGAAATTTATTTGCTCAGAATGCAACATTTTTCACTTAAGGAATGTGAATTTGTGCCATAAGTGGGGAACTCATTAGCTGAAATTGGAGTCTAATGAAGAGAAGCACTACATGGGGTGTACTGAATGATCAAAATGTAATTTTTGAGGCATGAATGTGACATGATTATGAAAAAAGTAGAATGCAGTCTTGTATCAGGAGAGATACTTCCATAAGAAACTGCAGCATTGGGGTGCCACTTACAAGTCTCAAATACTGGAATATTGCGTTCAAGTCCAATCACCCATGTTCACAAGATGCACATAAACTAGAACAAATTCAAAGGGAAGTGAAATATGGATGTAGTAGGGTATTATATGAAAAGGGATTAGGTAAGCTTGACTGATTTAACTTAAAAAGGAAAAAAATGAGAGGAAATGCTGTTCTGTCTAAATACTCTGTAGAGAGTGAGAAAATGAAAAGCTAGTCTAAAGAAATATGGTGATACAATAAGGAATGAGAATAAACTGGTCAAAAAGATAATGGAAATCAGTATTTTTTAACCATTGATACAGTGAGATTTGGAACGGTCTTCTGGGAATTTTATTGCCCCCTAACTTGTTGTAAGATGCACTTTGGACAATTTATGGGAGGCATTATATTCTGTACTTGCTTTCAATAGTTGCTCATAGTCTCAAAAAGTAGTATCAGATCTTACAGGTTAATGTCAAATCTTAGACTCCTATCATTAGTATTTTTCCTAGAAGTTCTATATTTGGATTACATCTAGCAGGAAGCATCTCTGCCTCAAGGTTAAGCAACTTTTGTAGAATCAACAGAGCATCTTAAAAATGTGCGACATAACACCACTGATCTTTACGGTATGGCTTGAGAATTTCTGATCTATTTAAAAAAAAAAAGTTATGTGCTGTATGAAGTTTCTTTCAAACTACTATCAACATTTCACTGTGAAAACAGGCACAGAAGGTTATGGAAAGGGGAAGACTGTGCGTTGTCCAGAGGCCATGCAAGTGTACAAAGTTACCATCCTCTACATGCTTCCATTACCTTTCTGAACAGTTTTGTATTACTAATGATGCTCTCAGTAATAGCAGCAGCTATGGGTTCACACATTGGGACTTTAGATTTTCTTACACAGATATTAACTTCTTAATATGTCTGAGGAAAATAATGTTGATTTAATCATTCACACTTAGAAGTATGTCGTGTATCTTATACCCCACTGAAATGGCAATTCCCTTTCTTTCAGGTATTCCAGAAAGGGATTATGATCCAGAAAGGAAAATGTAGGTCCAGATCATGAACTTGTAACTCTGTTTCATAGGGGAATCCTAAACAGATTCAGACCATTAAGTTTCTGTAATTCAGGCTACCTCAGGCTTATGTGAATTGTTTGACGTTTGTTTGAAAAATTCTTGAGCTGAGTTTTGAGAGCCATGTACTTTTCTCGAAAGGACTCATATCATCTGTTCTATATTAGCATGTTGTGGAATATATCTTACCTGTAAATTATTAATGATTTAGTATTTTTATTTGCTTTAATAGGGCGCACAGAAGCCTGAAGTTTGACTTCAGACTTCTTTTTGAACCTCAGAAGAATTAGCGCTATTAAAGCTGGTCGGCTTTCAGAAGGTCCTTTGAGGGTGTCATTTTACATTTCAGAAGTTAAATTTTTAAGTTTCAGGGATAAAGTCATGTCTACATCAACTGCAGCAGAGAAAACGTTCTTACTCTCAGGTATTAAATTAAATGGTGGTAGCATTGAGTCCTTCGATAAATTTTTCCCTGCAATTTGGAAGTCCTTTTGTATACAGCAACGGTGGGCGTAGAGAAGCAATATTGTAAGCAGCATACATACCCATTCTTGACATATCTTACTATTCCATTTATTGCTTTTAGATTAACACTTTCTTTGTAAAGCTCGTACTTCACATTTTTTACGAACAGTACCACGTTATAGAAAATATGTCAATTGTAGGATACATTACAGGAATAAGTAGGGCTTTTCATTGAAACTTTTTAAGTAACTCTAAATTACTTTCTTTGAGTAGCTTTCATTGAAAGCGAATTTTAATAAAGTTGCTTTATACTGTTCCTGTGAAGTAGATAAGTATTACTCACACAGATATGCAGGAAAGTTAGACTAATGGTTTCCAAATAAAGCTACCTCCTTCAGCAGATACCTCCTGAAGGTACCTTATGACTGTCTCTGTGCGTTTTGTTTTAGGCCTATTTTCATGAGAACAGTAAAGGAACTTCTACATGCATTGACTTCTGGAGCACTAAGGATTGTCTTTTAGTCTTTGGCCAGCGGTACAAAATGTGGGTGAATATGGGAGAAGTGACAGGTATGTCTCAAAAGAATTGCTCTTCCATTAAAAGAATTTCTGAAGATGGCCTTGAATGGGTATGCAAAGATTTTTTTTTTTTAACAGAATTTAGCACTAGCAAGCATTTCAAGGTTTTTTTTTTTTCTTTACATTGTAACAACATGGTATTTTAAAGAGTTTATCGATGATTTTTATTCAAACATAACAGTAGTATCTGTATTGCCTACTTGGGATTTCCATATGCTATTTAGAAATAGCGTTCTGTTATCTCCAGTATTCACCAGGGTGAATCTGAACTTCTTTCTCCTCTTTGTGGAGCTCTGAATTAGCACCAGAATGTTATAAACCTGCCTGTTTAGCAAAATTACTTGGTTGAAGAAAACAAGTGTTCAGAATAAACATACCCACACGATTCAATCAAAAATCAAAACAAAATAAAGCCAAGGTCATTATTGTACATAACAGAATGAGGCAAGACAAGTAAGAAAAGCAGCTGAAACGAAGATAATCCTCCCCTAAACCTTGTACAACCATGAAAAAAGTGTGAAACTGCGATTAAGGAACTGGTTCATTCATCTGTTATAGTGCACATGTGATTTCCCAATACCACTAAAATAATGTTAGAAGCACTCAACAGGTGTGATTTGGTTGAAGGTTTTGTAATTTGAGAGCTGTTGTTTTCATAAGGAATTCTACTACAGTAAAGTGTACAGGATGTGGTCCTACAGGTGTAGTATAGTGTTGGAACCAGCTGCAGAGAACTAGTATAGAATCAGTCAACTGTTTTTTTTCCTAGAGTAATTAGGGGTATCAAACAAGTTATATATAATTAATATAAACAAGCAAGAACAATGGGAAGTTGCAGCACAGGAAAATATTCTATTTAAGTTAAATTACAGAGTACTTCACTGAAGTCACAGAATCGTATCGATTAAAAAACTAAAGCGTTGGATCCAGCTTGTATATCCTGAAATTCTCTCGTCCTAGCTGTGGCTACCATGAGAATATCTTCATGAATATCGGCCTTTTTCAGATCATGGTTGAGAACGTGATTGTCCTCTCCGTGATTAAAAAGGCTGAGCAGCTTCTTCAAAGCAAAAACTCAATGCATAAGCTATGCATAAGCTGCCAGATGGTGCTCCATCTAACAAACGAATGATATTCTACTGCTAATTTAGGTTTCTTTGCCTACAGTATGGATGTGAAACAAGTATTCTTAAGCTTATGGGACTCTGCAGTCTTTCTATGCCTCTTCTCACTCACTTTGTTTATTTAGGCTCAGGTTCTGGAAAAACATCTTAAGGATAGCATTTAGGCTGAGGCTTAAAGCCTTGTTAATGTCAACTTGTATGCACCCTACAGTTAGATAGGACATTGTGCATACATTGTGCAGGAGTGCCCCAGTTCAGGAAATCTCCTTGTATAGCAGTTAAACCCCTGGGACTCCTGCTATGGAAGTTACACACCTTCTCCAAATATAATATGAATGCTTAATTTGGTTATTTTGGTCTTTCTTGATTGTAAATTTGCAGTTTTCAAAGCATAGGAAAGGAAATAAGAATGCTAGTGTCACTTTGCTTTGCTGCAGTTTTGAGACTTCGTGAATGTAGCTGTGGTAAGAAGACCACTTCTGATCAGTTTGTACAGACTGACTTCTGCGCAGTAATGGAAAACCCCCCCTAAAATCAGTGATGTAAGTCCACGGGGGGTACCTCCAGAGGCAAGGAAGAAGTAAAGCGGAACCAGTTTTTACAACTTTTGCATGAGCATTGACTTCCTGGTGACATTTTTTTGGTATCGTCCACAATCTTTATCTGTTCTCATCTTGTTTCTTCATGGGTAAACCAGATTTTGTCAATTCCTGTGTGTGTCTTCATTAAGCGTCAATAGAGAGAAAAGCCTATAATAGAAAGCCTACAGCTGTGCACCTGGCCTATGGAAACAAGCACAGAAGCCACAATATGCAGTTCACTCTACTACAGTAGGATACAGACTGTTTCATTAGACTATTCCACTGAAAGGTTTGTTTTGTGTATGCCTATGTGGTGAATTTCATAGAAAAATAAATCTCATACATGGTAATATGGTCTGAAATTATGGTTCTTTTAGACAGTATTTTAATCTTCTCTTTCTGTAGACAAAAAGACAATTAGCTTGATGAAAAGGAGAAACTTGACTGAGCCTATAATTCTAATGGATCTGTTGCAGTGAGAGTGATGCTTGTGTTGCAGCTTGCTAGATATTACTAGTTAACTTTTTCATTCAACTGAATTTTAAATACAAAATCAGAAAGTGATATAAATTATTCTGATATAAGTGATATAAATTATTTTCATTGTGGCAGTCTGCTATCTGAGCTTTTTTTTTTTTCCCTGGGAGAAGACCAATCGCACTTTCAGAGGTATTATACCCACTGCATATACATAGACTAATCTATGCATGCTCAGTATGTCTCATCGCGTGGCTGGGAAGGAGGCGTCATGTACACGCTACCACAAGAATGAACTGTATGGCGTACCTATTTTTCCATGCTGGATAACATAGTTTTAGCACAGTGACAGTTCTGCATTATGTAAAAATAAAGGGAAAAATGCAGTTAATGTTTTTGGATTGAAATTCTAAAATGTTTGTATAGCTCTTCTTTCATGGTTGGAATGTGATCTTATTACATTTCTCATAAAATCACTATTATAGGCAAAAAACAACCAACCAACCAAAAAAATCAGAAAAGAACAGAGCAAAAATGCCCAAAAGAACCTATCACACTATAGGTACATGGGGCTAATCTGGAATTCATGAGCAATACCCCAGGAACTGAATCTCCAGATTTTGTCTTAATGTTACTCTTGGTTCCTACTCTCGGAAGGACTTAGATGTATTTTGTACAATGCAATAACAAAGTAATTGTTGAACTTGTGCATTTGCAGTATCTCATTTAAAATCGTTTTTAAAAAAGCAATTCTTTCATCATCTATGCGTTCTACACATTATTGCACATACAGAGAAACAGATACAAAGGAAGTTATCTGAAGTTGCAGAATGAGTCAGTAGCAAACATAGAAACTGAATTGGTCTCATCTTTCTACTGCTATGCCTCCTGCCTCTGTTTTTTTCATCTAATTTCCCTTGGTGTCAGGACTTAAACAGCAAGAGCAAAAGGTAAACATTGAATAGTTTGCATATTACAGGAAAATAGAATTACTGTGGCCCAGCATCTTGAGAGGGGGAAAAAAAAAAAAAGGAAAACAAAATTCTAAAGACAAGAACAATTATTACAGACTCCTGTTTGGGGATCCTCTTGCTTTTCTACAGTTCGCAAGGTTTAGCACCTGCTTGAGAAATGTCTTCTATAAATAACTGTTTTCTGTTTCAGACAAAATTTAAATTGAAAAGTATCTTGGTGCAGCTGGTCAGTCTGTCTACAACTTTGAACTGTGAAAAAAGGAGCAGAAATTCTTTGGGGGCCTCAGGGTGAAATGCCTTTTATTTTACAAGATACCGTGTTATAGAGCTGTGATCGATATTTAACTACTGTTGTTAGCAGTTCTCAGAATTGCTAGAAGTGAGAACTGAAAAGCCCTTTGTAGATGGTCCTCACTCTTTTACCAGTTCTGCGGCATTCCAGATTTCCATAATTGCGAACTGTGATGGCACAGTGCCCCAAAAATGAATACTTCGATAGTTTGCTGCTATCTTGTAAGCCTTGTCATCTCCGATGTTCTGGTACGCCACCGCGGCCATGTGAGAAGTACTGTGATAAGAGTAAGTAGTATTTCTGTAATACTTTGTGGCTATGCTGGGCATTTTCATATTGTATTTTACATAGATTTTTAAACATAAATACTTATATGTAAAACCTAGTAGATGTTTATCAGAATAAGTATATGGGCTCAACAGTAATAAAGACATATATCGTATATCCTGTATGAGTATTAACTGTGATAGAAGCGGTAAATTTTTCAAGCTCTCAAGCTGTCCCTCAGTGGAAATAGAAATTGCTCCTTTGATATATGTTTTCTGTACTGGGCATGTATTTACTGTTTATTACTTACGTTATGTTCATTGTAAACAATTATCTCTTTTATTTCATAAGGTACTGATTCAGGTGGAATTCTTTGGATTTGTTTGGGCATAGGAATAATTTTAATGCTCACTCTGTTCCTCTTAATGGTCTTGTTTAAATGGAAGCACCTAAAGCTACTAAAAGAAAAACTGAAAAATACAGGTGAATAAATATAATCCTTTATCAGATACTTTCAGATCATTGTACATGTTAGCTGTGTAAATCTTGCATAAATTTTATATTCTAGATTCTCATAGCTGTTTTTAGGTTGCATGTTATTCCACAAATAATTGTAATTATTAAAGTTATTAGGGAGTAAAATAACCAGACGGATAACTTGTAAAAGGAGCAATCTCCTGTTTGTTGGTTCTGGATCATGTCAGGATTGTACTTCATTATATATTTACATCTGGTTTACTTGTTAGTGTTTGAGAAAACTTTTATGAACCCTCGCTAGCAATAATCTTTATAAGGATTTGATCTTCCTCCCGTTGAATGCAAAAGCAGCTCTGTCCAGGTAGAGGATATACATTCAGTGTTAGCTTCCCAGTTTGTAAGGTGTTAAATAATTTTACTTAATCTTCTAGCCTCTGACAACCATCTGTGATATATTTTGTGAAAGTGTGAAAATTGAGTTATTGTTACATTTTACAAATACTAGTATTTGTAGAAAAGAAAGTATTGTTCAGCCAATAAATAAGAACCAATGAGAAAATACATATTATGTTACTTAAATGTCTATACTGAAGTGTAGGGGGGACATTTTCATAAATCAAAAGATTATCATAGATAACAACATCTTAAAACTTTCACTAAGGCTAGGAACATAGAGCATAACAAAACTTAGATCCTTAATAACTATGTCTGGCAAAGCATGATGTGTACTAAATTAACTTCCGTGTATTTACAGACTCTTCTGTGGAGCTGAATGATATTCTCAAGGTTGATACTGAAAGCCGTACTGGAATCAGACACTCACTGCAAAGTGAAACATTAATGTATTCAGTGGAGGAGTGCACTTGTAGTGACTGTGGCTTGGTAAAACCTCAGACTGGCTGTGAAACTTCATTTCCATTACCAGCTACAGAAGAAGGAGCTACTGTTCTAGTTACCACAAAGTCTTTTGATTACTCCAACTATATTCTTGGTGCAGGGTGACTATGAGAGACGTATATATTTACTACGTAATAATAAATTAGTTATTCCAATATAGCTGTTAATACTGGCAGTCAGCGGAGAAGCCTACTACATCAAGCTTATCATTCTTGCATTGAACTGCCATTGATACTGTCATATTATTTCTAATTCTAGTACATCTTTGGTCAACTATTTCTATGTTATTGTCAGGTACCAAGCTAGTTATCGGAATTTATAATTTTTGGAAGTCCCTGTGTAGGATGGCTCTTTCTGCCTTTAGAGACTGTATTTACTTAGTATATTTACTTATATTTACTTATGTACTTATGTAGCTGGATATATACAAATGCCACCACTAAACAAGTTTGCAAATACATATTTTATAATAAACACAAATCTTGTGTCAAAAGTTGCTTGCTATACTACAAAAAGCGTATGAAGAGACAGAGATGAGAACACGCATTACGTCCCCAGTCTCCTACAGAGTAATTTCCAACAGCCACGATGATGCTTGAAATGGGAGTGTGCTCATGACAGAGAATAGGGAGTGCGTCCCAGCTCACGTGGTACCTCCGGTCACGCTAAAGGAGGTTGCAGTGGTCTGGAGCACCACATATATAATCCCAATATATCTCCTGATGCTAGAGACTTTCCTTTCAGTGCCAAACGCTTTTCAGACTGTGTTCTACGATGATTTTTTTTTTTGCTATTTTTTTTTATTGACGGTTGTTATTTGCATGGGTACTGCTGACTAGATATTGTCATGCTAGGCTACTGTGTGGTCTAAAATCGGGAATGTATTTTTTGTCACCTGGTCTCCTAAATAGGCATGTATTTTCCCAGTATTTGACCAGTTTCATTCCTGTTGTTAAGGATGATAAGCGCCTGCAGTTTCTGACGAATGCTGCGTATGCTCATCAAGGACAACTGCAACTACAACAGAAGCAACAACAGTCTCCCCATTTTTTGAGAACTTTCCATCTCAGGTTCTTGCAATGAATGAATGGTCACGGATGATTTGAAGCGATTTAAGAGTACGGAATTAAGGCACAAAATCTGTGAAAGCTCAGTATCGCAGCATCTTTAGGAAGCGGCTGCAAAGCTGCTGTGGTCCGATTCCGAGTTAGCTGCGCCGCTCCGGCCCAGAGCAGAAAGGGCCGAGAGGCTTGTGAAACCCTTAAATTTTACTATTAAATCAGAGCCCTTAAAAAAAGGTTATGGCCTCTTGCTTGCAACACAAAACAAAGTTGATCCCTTAAAATGAGTCTACAAAACTTAAGGAAATTACTCCTGATTAGTTTGACAGTTTTTTTTTTTCTTAATCAGAGGTGTCACAATTTATTTTATAGTGTTTTTTGAAACCTTGCAGGACTTGCGGGTTACATAGTACCCGAACGTGAGAGTATTAAAGAAAACAGAACAAAAAACCAGACTGTTTAAAGTTTTCTCATCTCCTACTCGTGCAGCGTTTCTTAGCCTCCCCGAGGGTTTTTAGGCGGGGACGGATACTGAGCCTTTCCGCCTAGCTGGTGAAGCGCAACACGGCGGCGCGGCGCAGACGGCCCGAGGGCTCCGCGGCTGAGGGAGCGGGCCGACCCGCGCCCGCGCCCGGCCCCAC